AACATATATAATGTTACCTGACATGACTATAACATATATAAAGTTAACTGACATGACTATAACATATATAATGTCACCTGACATGACTATAACATATATAAAGTTACCTGACTGGACTATAACATATATAAAGTTACCTGACATCACTATAACATATACAATGTTACCTGGCATGACTATAACATATATAATGTTACCTGGCATGACTATAACATATATAATGTTACCTGACAGGACTATAATATATATAATGTTACCTGACATGACCACAACATATATAATGTTACCTGACATGACTATAACATATATAATGTTACCTGGCATGACGATACCATTCACAAAGTTACCTGACATGACTATAACATATATAATGTTACCTGGCATGACGATACCATTCACAAAGTTACCTGACATGACTATAACATATATAATGTTACCTGACATGACTATAACATATATAATGTTAACTGACATGACTATAACATATATAATGTTACCTGGCATGACGATACCATTCACAAAGTTACCTGACATGACTAAAACATATATAATGTTACCTGACATAACTATAACATATATAATGTTACCTGACATGACTATAACATATATAATGTTACATGGCATGACTATAACATATATAATGTTACCTGCCATGACTATAACATATATAATGTTACCTGACATGACTATAACATATATAATGTTACCTGACATGACCACAAAATATATAATGTTACCTGACATGACCACAGAATGTACAATGTTACCTGACATGACCACAAAATGTACAATGTTACCTGACATGACCACAAAATGTACAATGTTACCTGACATGACCACAAAATGTACAATGTTACCTGACATGACCACAAAATATATAATGTTACCTGACATGACCACAAAATATATAATGTTACCTAACCATACCGTTTACAAAGTTACCTGACATGACTATAACATATTTAATGTTACCTGGCATGACGATACCATTCACAAAGTTACCTGACATGACTATAACATATATAATGTTACCTGCCATGACGATATCATTCACAAAGTTACCTGACATGACTATAACATATATAATGTTACCCCTGACATGACCATAACATGTATAAAGTTACCTGACATGACTATAACATATATACTGTTACCTGGCATGACTATAACATATATAATGTTACCTGACATGACTATAACATATATAATGTTACCTGACCATACCGTTTAAAAAGTTACCTGACATGACTATAACATATATAATGTTACCTGGCATGACGATACCATTCACAAAGTTACCTGACATGACTATAACATATATAATGTTACCTGACATGACTATAACATATATAAAGTTAACTGACATGACTATAACATATATAATGTCACCTGACATGACTATAACATATATAAAGTTACCTGACTGGACTATAACATATATAAAGTTACCTGACATCACTATAACATATACAATGTTACCTGGCATGACTATAACATATATAATGTTACCTGGCATGACTATAACATATATAATGTTACCTGACAGGACTATAACATATATAATGTTACCTGACATGACCACAACATATATAATGTTACCTGACATGACTATAACATATATAATGTTACCTGGCATGACGATACCATTCACAAAGTTACCTGACATGACTATAACATATATAATGTTACCTGGCATGACGATACCATTCACAAAGTTACCTGACATGACTATAACATATATAATGTTACCTGACATGACTATAACATATATAATGTTAACTGACATGACTATAACATATATAATGTTACCTGGCATGACGATACCATTCACAAAGTTACCTGACATGACTAAAACATATATAATGTTACCTGACATAACTATAACATATATAATGTTACCTGACATGACTATAACATATATAATGTTACATGGCATGACTATAACATATATAATGTTACCTGCCATGACTATAACATATATAATGTTACCTGACATGACTATAACATATATAATGTTACCTGACATGACCACAAAATATATAATGTTACCTGACATGACCACAGAATGTACAATGTTACCTGACATGACCACAAAATGTACAATGTTACCTGACATGACCACAAAATGTACAATGTTACCTGACATGACCACAAAATGTACAATGTTACCTGACATGACCACAAAATATATAATGTTACCTGACATGACCACAAAATATATAATGTTACCTAACCATACCGTTTACAAAGTTACCTGACATGACTATAACATATTTAATGTTACCTGGCATGACGATACCATTCACAAAGTTACCTGACATGACTATAACATATATAATGTTACCTGCCATGACGATATCATTCACAAAGTTACCTGACATGACTATAACATATATAATGTTACCCCTGACATGACCATAACATGTATAAAGTTACCTGACATGACTATAACATATGTAATGTTACCTGACATTACCGCAACAAAAACGTACAGTTTGTATTGTGCACTTGTATAATATAAACGGTATTTGATCAAGGTAGTAGTGGTAGTAGTCCATTTTACCCAAGGACATTACATAAAGCTATAAACAACCGATAACACAAAATGCCACCATGTTGATGCGGATCACCCGTGGAGAGGTCCCGGAAACCGCGTTCAGCCATTGGGCTATATTTATGGCCGGGCTATATTGCGGCCCCTGGCAAGAGCCAGGGTGGGGCTTTAAAATAAGGAAAAATTGCATCCCACAAGGGGATGACTAGCCTTGGTAGGAAAAGATTTGATCAAGGTCAGTTTTAGGACCTGTTGAGGCTGTAACCACTTAAACGATTTTCGTGTAAACACCACCTCTCCCCCCTTCCCTCAACTGAAAGAAAGATAATAACCACACAAATAATTTTGTTTAAGGTAATCTAAATTAAACAAAAACATTAGGATGGAGAAAGAGTGCCCTGGAACAAGCTCTGGGACTGCTTGGCAGGGTAAAACATCCCAGCACCCTGAGAGTGCAATACAGAGTTTCTATAAAAGCTGCAGAAATTATGGAAGAACAGCAGACCAAAAGTCAGAAGAATTTAAGACCATTAGCGTTGTTAGACAAGGTGATATTCTCTCACCTTACCTCTTTATTCTTATGATGGATGATGTCATGAAGACCTGTAAGGAGAAGACAAAAAAGTACTCTGTAGGGTACTGGAAGATGAGACCAATCTGTTTATCAGAGCTGACATTTACAGACGATGTGGCCCTGATAGCTGAATCAGAGGAACACCTTCAGTCCAACTTACTTGTCTGGATGGAAGACCTTGAGAAGAGAGGGATGATCTATAGTATTTCCAAAACTAAAACTATGGTGATCTCAAGAGAGGAGAAGAAACACCAGATCATGATGGGACAGTATGTATTGGAGCAGGTTAACCAGTTCAAATACCTTGGAGTTGTATTAGACCGAAATGGAGGTATTAAGACCGAGCTGGCTACAAGAAAAGCTGCTTCTGGGAGACTCTTCCAGGCCATAAACCAAGGGTTTCTTAGTAAAAGAGAAATTGGCAAGAGGACGAAAATTGCTGTTTACCGCTCTACCTATGTACCAGTCCTGACCTATGGGTGTGAGTCATGGGCAATGACAACAGCTCACAGAAGCCAGCTTCATGCCTCAGAAATGAGATATCTGAAAAAGATGACCCAACCGACAAGAAGATACAAGGTCCGCAGTCAGACAATACGTCAAGATCTTGATACGTAGTCCCTAAAACCAGAGTAGATCAGTCAAAGTGGTTTGGACATATATGCAGAATGGAAGAAAATCGGCCATAATGGCAGGCATGGGAGGCCAAGAACCAGGGAACAAGACCACCAGGGCGGCCCAGGGTGTGCTGGGAAGACAACATCCCACAGTCCTAACTGACATAGGATTTACATGAAACAAAGCAGGAAAGAAAGCTGCTGATAGAGACGTCTGGCGATCTCTCTGGCAAACCTCTACACCCTAAGGTAGAAGAGGAGCAACTAAGTAAGTAAGTAAGTAAGTAAGTAAATTAAACAAAACTTACAACGAGATGGAAGAAAAATAAAGTGATATATTATACGTTAGCTGAGAAAAACAAACGTACAGCTCTAAGATTAATAACAATTTATGTGTTGTCGCCTCCCTTTCTTATGCCCTAAGCACGTGTTTAATGTTAATCCGGCTCTGCAAGTGAAGTGACCAGAGATGGCTACAGAGATGGTTAAGACAATGCCACACGATGTACTTTCACAAGCTTACCGACTGCACTTGGAAGGAGTTAGTGGTACCTCGGTGATCGATGTCATGACACAAACAGGAAACAAATAAAGCCAGCAATTCGATGTCTCTGAAATATGCCAACCAGACAACAAGTAACTTCATCAAGTATCACTCTAATCTGTGTTCGACAAATAAATGAATGATTAAAAACTGTCCAGTTAATCTATGACAAGGTGCATATGTAGTAGTAGTAGTATTAGTAATAGTGGTAGTAGCAGCAGCAGCAGCAGCAGCAGCAGCAGCAGCAGCAGCAGCAGTAGTAGTAGTAGTAGTAGTAGTAGTAGTAGTAGTAGTAGTAGTAATAGTAGTAGTAGTAGTAATAATAGTAGTAGTAGTAGTAGTAGTAGTAGTAGTAGTAATAGTAGTAGTAGTAGTAGTAGTAGTAATAGTAGTAGTAGTAGTAGTAATAGTAGTAGTAGTAGTAGCACAGTTCAGACAGGTTACACAGTTCAGACAGGTTACACAGATTAGACAGGTTACACAGATCAGACATATTGCACAGTTCAGACAGGTTGCACACATCAGACAGGTTACACAGATCAGTTAGATTAGCCCAGATCAGACAGGTTACACAGATCAGTTAGATTAGCCCAGATCAGACAGGTTACACAGATCAGACAGGTTAGCCAGAGCAGACAGGTTGCACAGATCCGACAGGTTAGTAAAATCAGACAGGCTAGACAAATCAGACACGTTAGCCAGCCTACTCACTCTAAATAATTGTGCAGGTGCAGATTCTTGATCAGCAGATAACAAAAGTGAGTCACGGAAAAAGCATGCATCCAGTTGTGGTATGGTGGGTTGCGATAGCCTTTCTTCACCATCAACAGAAACCTGGCACGAACAATGTAGCCAGAGTGAACTCATACAACGCAAAATAGCACGATCACTTATTAGTTGTTGTCAGCATCATGTACTTGCCTCTACCTCCATTCCATTCTTACACTCCTCCACTCAATGTTGTTGCAAACACTTAGTTTCTACATTCTCTCTTCCATTGTTACACTACCCAACTCGAGACCAGTTGTTGATATAATCCCTACAGCACATGAATATAACGAAGTTGATTACTTTAATAACAACAAACAAGAGTAAAATTATCTGCTTGACACAAAAAGAGTTAAGCAATGAATATTTGCAGATGTATGACAGAAGTATCGTGGGATAACTGGGGTCTGAAAAGCAAGGTTGAATTAATGGAATCCAAGAAGTTTGGTGGAATTACTGGGATCTGAGAAGTTTGGTGGAATTACTGGGGTTTCAGACTTAAGAAATCCTACTAATCCCAGATCCAAGTAATATAAACATTCCCAGACTCCAATAATTCTATCATACTTCTCAGACGCCAATAATCATACAATGCTTCGCAGACCCCAGTTGTCCCACTTTTTATAGTAATCTCACCATTCTCAGACTCTAGTAATCCCGCTCTCCTCACATACCAGTAATCACACCATGCTTCTCAGACCCCATGAATAAAACCATTCTCAGTCCCTAGTAAACCCACCATTCTCAGACCCTAGTAATCCCTTCAAACTTCTCAGACAGCAGTAATTCCACCAATCCCAGACCCCAGTAATTCAACCATTCTCAGACCCTAGTAATCCCACCATGCTTCTCAGACCTAAGCAGTCCCCCCAAGCTTCTGAGACCCCAGTAATTCCAGCATTCCCAGATTCAGAGACAAATAGAATTACTTGGGTCTGGGAAAAAGGGTGGGATAGCTGCGGTCTGTAAATGATGAGATAACCTGGGTCTAAAAAGTTGGATTAGATTACTGGCGTCAGAAAAATTTGATAAGAATACTGGGAGGTGAGTAATTTGGTGAGATTCATGTGGTCTGAGTATGGTGGGATTACGTGGGTATAAGAATAATGGGATTATTGGAGTCTGAGAATAATGGTATTACTGGGGTCTGTTAATGATGGGAATACTGTGGCATGTAAATAGACAGATTACTTGGGTGTTAGATAGGTGGGATTACTGGAATTTTGGAAAGGTGAGATTTTGGGGGTATGGGAAAGGTGAGATTTTGGGGAGTCTAAGAATGGTGGGATCACTGGGGTCTCAGATTTGTGGGATTACTGGTGTCTGAGAATGGTGAGATTACTGGGTTGTGAGAATGTATTTTGTCACTAGCTTATCATTATCAGTGTATTTAATGCCGGTTGGGACAGGCCGATCCTACCTTTGCATTTGTCTTTGAATCTGGGAATGGTGGAATTACTGGGGTCTGAGAAGTTTGATGGGATTACTAGGGTCTGAGAATGATTGGATTAATGGGGTCTGAGAATGATTGGATTAATGGGGTCTGAGAAGCATGGTGTGATTACTGGTATGTGAGGATAGCGGAATTCCTGGGGTCTGAAAATGGTGAGATTACTATGAAAGTGGGACAACTGGGGTCTGCAAAGCATGGTATAATTACTTGCGTCTGAGAAATATGATGTAAATAATGGGGTCTGGGAATGATTATATTACTGGGATCTGGGAATAGTGGGATTTCTTAGGTCTGAAACGCATAGGGGGATTACTGGGGTCTGGAGGTATCATAGGATTACTGTGATCTAAGTAGTACTGAGAGAATACTTGGCTCTGAGAAGAATGATGAGATTACTGACATCTTAGAATGGTGGGATTACTAGAGTCTAAGAAGCATGTTGGGATTACTAGAGTCTAAGAAGCATGTTGGGATTACTTGAGTCTAAAAAGCATGTTGGGATTACTTGAATCTAAGAAGCATGTTGGGATTACTAGAGTCTAAGAAGCATGTTGGGATTACTAGAGTCTAAGAAGCATGTTGGGATTACTAGAGTCTAAAAAGCATGTTGGGATTACTTGAGTCTAAGAAGCATGTTGGGATTTCTAGAATCTAAGAAGCATGTTAGGATTACTAGAGTCTAAAAAGCATGTTGGGATTACTTGAGTCTAAGAAGCATGTTGGGATTACTAGAGTCAAAAAAGCATGTTGGGATTACTAGAGTCTAAGAAGCATGTTGGGATTACTTGAGTCTAAAAAGAATGTTGGGATTACCCAGGTCTAAGAAGCATGTTGGGATTACTAGAGTCTAAGAAGCATGTTGGGATTACTAGAGTCTAAGAAGCATGTTGGGATTACTAGAGTCTAAGAAGCATGTTGGGATTACTAGAGTCTAAGAAGCATGTTAGGATTACTAGAGTCTAAGAAGCATGTTAGGATTACTAGAGTCTAAGAAGCATGTTGGGATTACTAGAGTCTAAAAAGCATGTTGGGATTACTAGAGTCTAAGAAGCATGTTAGGATTACTAGAGTCTAAGAAGCATGTTAGGATTACTAGAGTCTAAGAAGCATGTTAGGATTACTAGAGTCTAAGAAGCATGTTAGGATTACTTGAGTCTAAGAAGCATGTTGGGATTACTCAGGTCTAAGAGTGAGTAGAGTAAAGTAAAGATCCCTTTACACGCCGTTAGGCGCATCGGGCATATGGGAAGAGCACCCATATTTTTACAGACCAATCGGCACTAGGTGGGTAATATGATCAGCATTTGGCCGGCCGTCTTTACTTCCCCAGGACAGCCATTCTGGTACCCATTTGAGGCTGGGTCGACTTGCGACGTCCCATACAACTATAAAAATCTACGCAGCCCGCAGTGGGTTTCGATCGCTGAACGTTGGATTACGAGTCAGACTCGCAACGCCTTAGCCACCGACGCCGCTAGGTCTATGAAGTAATTATAAAATTACTGGGATCTAGGAATGGTGGGATTGCTGTGATGCGATAAACATGGTGGGATTACTAGAGTCTGAGAATGGAAGGATTACTTGCGTCTAAGAAACATGGTGAGATTCTTGGACCTGAGAAAAATGGTCAGATTACAGTGTTCTGAGAATGGTGGAATTACTGGGGTCTGTGAATGGCGCGATTACTGAGGTGAGTAAATAGTAGGATGATTGGGGTCTAAAAAAAGGGGATTACTGGGGTCTAAAAAAGTGGGATCACTGGGGTCTATGAAATACATTAGGATTACTGGTGTCTGAGAATGGTGATATTACTGGTATCTTGGAATATTAGGATTACTGCGATCTGAAATTGATGGGATTACTAGGGTCTGAGAACTGAGGGATTACTGGGGGCTGAGAAGTATGCGGGATTACTGGGATCTGAAAATGGTAGGATGATTGGGTGCTGTGAAGTATAAAAGGATTATTGGGGTTTGAGAATTGAGGGATTACTGGGGTCTGAGAAGTATCTGGATTCCTAGGATCTGAAAATGGTAGGATGAATAGGTGCTGTGAAGTATGAAAGAATTACTGGGGTCTGAAAATGGGAGGCGTATGGGTTACGTGGGTCTAAGAATGGTGCTATTAATGGGCTCCGTGAATTGGGGAAGGTTTACTGGGGTCTGAAAATGGTGTTATTACTGGGGTCTGAGAAGCCTATTAAGATTACTGGGTCTGAAAATAGAGATATTACTGGGGTCTGTGAAGCTTATTAAGATTACTGGGTCTGAAAATAGAGATATTACTGGGGTCTGTGAAGCCTATTAAGATTACTGGGTCTGAAAATAGAGATATTACTGGGGTCTGAAAATAGTGGAATTACTAGGGGTCTAAGAATTCTTGAATTTCTGGTGTCTGAGAAGTATGGTGAGATAAATGTTATCTAAGAATGGTGCGACTATACGGGTCTGTGAATCATGGCGGGATTACTAGGGTCTGTGAAGTGTGGTGAGATTACTGGGATCTGGGAAGTTTGGTGAGATTACTGGAGTCTGAGACTTTTAGTGGCAGTGGATTTACTAGGGTCTGGGAAGTACTAGGGTCTGCTAATGGATGAATTACTGGGGTCTGTGAATATACCACAGCTCTCTTCTTTGTATATGTTAATGTCACACCCAGGTTCGACGTTAGTTTGCCACAAGTCAGTTAAAGAATTTCTACGAGTAGAAAGATGTTCGTGTCGATAATGGTGATGATGATAGTCTCTCGTGCTTGCTACATGCTTCTAAAGTCATTCTGATGCTTGTATAAAAAAAATGTATTGAAACAACTATTATTTTCTGTATTTTCTTTATTTTGATACCTTAGTATTTTGATAGGCCGCTGTTTTAGCTCTATAGTTACATACTCTTGAGGTCGCGCTGTGTTCTTTATGTCTGGTTACTTTTGTTAACTGGTTGAAGTGACTGTAACTGCATTCTGGCTTCTAGTGCTGTCTGGTACTAATGGGTTGATAGTCTACTCTAACATCTTAGTAATGTTTCTATCTAATATGTCAATGCTGACCATGGATCTATGTATTTTGTCTGTTGTCTCTGTAGTTCGTTGTTTCGTTCGAAATCTGCTCTTTGGTGACTGTCTTTGAAGCTCTATGTGACTGGTTCTACTTCTTCTAATGTTGAGCTGGCATGTTCACAACTGAAGGCACTAGTCTGCAAGGGTCGAAGTGACTAATCCCTTTTCTTCTAAGTCCCATAGACTGAAGAATGCTTGAGTGGTTTCTTACCAACAATTTATACTGAGCTGTTGGAATGCGTGGTATGAGTTTTTCTGCTAATTAATGCTTCTGGAAGATTCTTGTATGCCAAAACTTATTTACTAAGTGCGTTCTAACATGGAATTTTCTATAACACCTCTGGTGCATCAGATAACTATGCACTAAAAAAAAAAACCTCACCAATCAAACTGATAGTTGGCCTTCTGGGGGTCTTCCAGAAAGCGAATACAACTGCGTTCTCTTTGAAAGGGCATATCCATTATCACATATACTTTTTATAGATTAATAATTCGCAAAACATTTCTTTGCTAATAAACACGTGAAAGTTCTAGAAAGGGGGTGTCAAAGTTTCTAAGCCTTGTTGATTCTCAGCCCACCCAACTAACACGCAGTCGATGACGTCTCCCTGCTACATGAAGTATCGAGTGTTGACTGGGCGTCTGAGAATGGTTATATTACTGGGGTCTGAGATTGTCGGATTACTGGGGTCTGAAAAGTATGGTGCGATTACTGTGGTCTGAGAATTGTGGGATTACTAGGGTCGGTGAAGAACGAAGGAATTACTGGGGTTTACAAAGTAAGGATGAATTACTAGGGTCTGAGAATAGTGAGAATACTGTGGTCTGTGAATCATGAAATTATTTCTGGAATCTGTCAAGTATGGCATGGTTTTGGTGTCTGTAAAATATGGAGGGGTTACTTGGTATGAGAATGGCTGAATTACTGGAATCTATTAAAAATGAAGGGTCTGAGAATTGAAGGATTACGCGGGTCTGAGAATAGAGGTATTACTGGAGTCTGAGAATAAAGGGATTACAGGTGTTTAAGAATGTTGGTTTACAGGGGTCTGAGAATGGTAGGATAACTGGAGTCTGTGAAGTATGGACGGATTACAAGGGTCTGAAGACGTTCCTTTAATGTGGTGTGAGAATGATGGAATCACTGGTCTGTGAAGTATAGATGGATTAGTGGGGCCTGAGAACGTTCCTTTAATGTGGTGTGAGAATGGTGGAATAACTGATGGCTGCGAAGTATGGAGGGATTACTGGGGCCTGAGAACGTTCCTTTAATGTGGTGTGAGAATGGTGGAATAACTGAAGTCTGGGAAGTATAGAGGGATTACGTGGGCCTGAAAACGTTTCTCTAAAGTGGTGTGAAAATGGTGGGATTACTGTGGTCTGTAAAAGTACTGAGGGATTAGTAGGCTGGACGAAGTAGGGAGGGATTAATGGTGTCTGTGAAGAGTCAAGAGTTTAACGGGGTTTTTAGAATGGAGGGATTACTACGAATTTTTTTGAATAATCCTACTAGTTATGCTACAGTTAGAAACAATTGTTGACATACTTATGATTAAAATGTAATTATAGTTTAAGAAACAACTCAGATTTCAGTTAGCATCAAGTGAATGACAAGATCTCAGATAGTCACAAGTGAACACAATCTCACCAGCTCTCAGAAAGAAAGAAGTGAACATAATAACTCACAAAAACGCAAAGAAAACAAGTGAACGCATAAAAAAGGTCACCAGATATCAGAGAGAAACAAGTAAACAAAACAGTAACTCACCAAATACCAGATAGCAACATGTAAACACAAAAAATAACTCATCAGATCTCAGATAGCAACATGTAAACACACAAAATAACTCATCAGATCTCAAATAGCAACATGGAAACACAAAAAATAACTCATCAGATCTCAGATAGCAACATGTAAACACACAAAATAACTCATCAGATCTCAGATAGCAACATGTAAACACACAAAATAACTCATCAGATCTCAGATGGCAACATGTAAACACAAATAATAACTCATCAGATCTCAGATAGCAATTAGTAAAAAAAAATGACTCACCAGAAAGAAACAAATGAACACAATAAATCACGAGATCGCAGAGAGAGACAAGTGAAAACAATGACTCACGAGATCTGAGAGAGAAACAAGTGAAATCAAAAACTCATGAGATCTTAAAGAGAAACAAGTGAACAAAAAGACTCACAAAATCACAGAGAGAAACAGATGAACACAAATAATGACTCACAAGATCTCGGACATAAACAAGTGGCCACAAATATTGACTCACCAGATCGCAGAAAGCAATAGGTAAACACAAAAAATGACTCACAAGCAATGACTGTTTATCTCAGAGATAAACAGATGAACACAAATAATAGCTCCCCTGATTTCAGAAAGCAACAATTGAACGACTGATTGACTTACCACATCACAGAAAGAAAGAAGAGAATTCAATAACTCACCTGACCAGTGTTTCTATTTTGATTCTCCACCTGCTTGTGAAGCCAAGGTCTTCAAACATACTCAAACATGACTGCGTAAATAGACAAACATACTTAGACATGACTGCAGACATGCACAAACATACCTAGTCATGACTGAAGACATACACAAACATAATTTATAATGACTACACACATGTAAAAACATACTTAGTCATGACTGCAGGCAAAAACAAACATATTTAATCATAAATAAACACTCGAAGGTTCAGCGATTCGTCACCTGCGCCCGGAAATCTGTATTCAGAAAGAGATGGGTCTGTCTTTAAGGCTGCTCTGGTAAAAATAGGCAGTCATGTTTGATCATTGTTGAAATTGTACGTCAGTTATAAAGGATTCACTTATTTGCTTCATCTATGTAATTTTTACTGTGGTGTGCACCTGACGAGATACAGCGAAATTTGCCAGGCAATAAATTGTGCAAACTTTTGTATGTGTCTGTTCAAATTTACAACGGGGAAACATTGCTTTGAAAGACAAACATACTCAGTCATGAGTGCAGACATGGACAAATATACCTAGACATGATCGCAGACATGGACAAACATTTTTAGTCATGACCGCAGTTATATACAAACAAAAAGAGAGTGTTAAAATGTTACATAGAAGCTATTCTGTTGTATGGCAGCCAATCTTGGAATGTCAGTGAACTAATTAGGAAAAATTTGGAAGCAACAGAGGTGTGGTTTCTGAGACGAATGTTATCAATACCTTGGACTACCAGAGTAACTAACAACTATTAAAGAAGATGAAAGAAGCTAATGAAAGTAGATCTCTGTATGCAACAATAAGAAAGAGACAAACACTGTTCTTTGGCCACATACTGACTAGAGAGACATTGGAGAACATCGTGACAACTGGAAAGATCAGTGGAAAAGTTGATAGAGGCAGATAAAGAGAGATGATGCTGGATGGGCTGAAACAATGGCATGGAAACAGGGGGGGGGGGGGTTGGATATCTTTAAGAGAGATGTTCCAGGCAACCAGGGATCGTGATCTGTGGAGATGCATGAGCGTCTACGCCAGTTGGCAGGATGAATGATGATGACTCAATCATGTCTGCAGACTATACCAAAACAGTCATGACTGCAGACATAGACTTTTATACTTAGTCGTGACAGCAGACGTGTACAAACATACTTAGTCATGACTGCAGACTCAAACATAAATTACTCAGACATGACTGCAGACATAGGCAAACATACTTAGTATTGACTTGGACATTGAAAATCATATTTCGAAATGAGTGCAGACATACACAAATTGAATTATGTATGACTGCAGACATTGACAAACATACTTAGACTTGGCTTCAGATATTGATAAACATAACCGCATATGTCTGCAGACATTGACAAGCCGCGTTAGGAGACTCGATTTTAAATCCAGCTGTAACTAGCTGCAGCACAGGGCCGTTGTTCGAAACCTGAGGGTTCCCTGGGTTCAATCAGCCTCTAGGTAATAGGTACCAGAGTTAACACTCTGGGAAAATGGAGGAACGTCGCTGTAGCTACGAAGTTGCTTGCGAACGACGACACAGGCAGACAGTTTCTTATCAGCTGTCCGTACTGGTGGTTTATAACCGTGTGCAATGACGCTGGTTCACATCTCTCGGCTTACCCCCCCCCCCCCCCTTTTTTTTTTCCACTTGTTTTTGGACATTAAAAAGCATTCTCAGACATGGACACACATAGACAAATCAAGATGGGTCATAGTCTATGAGACAATTCAACACGTGTCAATGGTCTATGAGATCATTTTTCACATGTCACTGATCTATAAGACAATTTAACATGTGTCACTAGTCTATGGTCGGCTCTGTCGCTTAGTCGATGCGAACGCTTTGTAATGCCGGGGTACCCGCTCCCAACTGCGGGCCATGTGCCTTGCGTTGGTTTCGACAGTGGCATCAGGGGGCTGACCGTCCAGCAGCAATGGCAAACCACTGGACGTAAATTTGCCTAAGAAAACCACACAACAGCCAGGGGCTGCTGGAGTTGGTTCTGCAACGTCCTGTAAATGATACACAACTAACCACTGGTCTATGAGACTATTTAACATGTGTCACTCGTCTTTTCGGCAATTCAATACGTGTCACTAATCTATGAGATAATTCAACATACCCCACGAGTCTATAAGTCAAGTGAACGCGTGACACTGTTTTATGATACAATTTAACATGTGTCTTTGGTCTGTGAGAAAATTCAATATGTGTCACTTGTATGTGAGATATAACATATTTCACTGGTCTATGAGACAATTCACCATGTGTCATTGGTCTGTGAGAAAATTCAACATGTCACTTGTATGTGAGATATCATAACATATTTCCTTAGTCTATGAAACAATATAACGTGTGTCTCACGTCTGTGAGACAGTTCAAAATATTTCACTTGTCTTTCAGACAATTCAGTAGGTCTCACTGGTCTACAGCTGAATGTTGAATTAAGAATCGACATCACAGCACTCGGTACACATCCGTAAGCGCTTCGTCCCCATCTTCAGCAGCAAGCGAAGAGTTAAAATTCTGATGGTACCAGTAACCGTGTAATTGTATATCCGTCTCGCCTTTCCCCTGAGTGTAGAGCGTCAGCTGAATCTTCTTGTAACTCCTCGCAGCGGCATTCTCTTCGGACCGTAGTGATCTTTCTGTTCCTCTGCACTGTTGACTCGCTCCCAAAGAGCACCTACAACATCTAGCGTGTCATACATCAGTTCCCCACCAAGTGGTGTCGAACTGACCAGTCTATCCTCTGCTCGTTTACCAACACACTATCATGACCTGGAAAATATATCCAAAGGATGTTAACTACCTGGGACCTCTTAAGTGATGCTTGCCACTCTGCACGAAGCATGCTTGTCTCCACCTTTCTCACCAATCTCTGTGAGTCAGTTACAATTACGGCAGGTATGTGCAGCTGATTCTCAAGCCAACAGAAGGCTGCAGTGACTGCCCCCACCTCCATTCTTAAACTAGACGTTGTTATATCATATGCCAGGGCTCTGTTGTACCAGGTGACGTCCATTCGCCTTTGCTACGAACTTCCATGCACTCTGTCTGCCCCCCCCCCCCTTTTTCCAACACACAGAACCATCCATTAATACAATTAAATCATTTGGGCGGGAATTGTCATGAATCATCTGTTGAACTTCTGATTCTGCAGCACCAGCTGGCCGGTCCCTGCACTCACGTCCCAAAGTGATTAGAACCCTACACAAATCTGAGACCGGACACTTTGACCCACTCCTCTGCTCGCCTAAATTTATCAAGCCTGCACACTTGTCCAATTGTGTCTTCAGCTAGCGCCATCCAAGATCTTCCTCTTTTCAGTCTGTGACCCTTAGCTCTATCAAGGTCTTCACGCAGGAGGTGCTTCTTGTCCGCAGCTACTCTGTGATATGACTTTGCCTGCAGAACTTTAAGCCTATCTGCAATAGCAGGCAGTACAAGTATATATTGCATACATACTACCGGGGTATCTCCTGTACATCCCAGAATAACCTGCATAGCTTCATTCTGTATGCGTTCAAGTTTCATCACCTCTTTGATACGATAAGTATTCCAAGTCCATAATGGATCACTGACAGGATCACATGTTGGAACATTTGGAACAACATTCTTTGTTCCATGTCCATTGCTGCCATAATCTTGAAAGCATTGAGTCCTTTCTGGCATTTTACCACAACTGCATCCACATGATCTCTGAAGGACAGGCTTCTATCGAAAATGATACCCAGGTACCTCAGTTTTCTTTCCCTTTTGGTGTTACTGTTATTAACTGTGAGTTTTGAGACAGTTCAGCACGTGTCACTCGTCTTTTAGAAAATTCATAATGTTTCAAAAATCTATAATATTATTTAAGATGTCTGACTAGTCTATGAGACAGGTAAACATGTGTCACTGGTTTATAAGACAGTTTAACACATGTCACTAGTCTATAAGACAATTCAACATATGTCAGTGATCTGTGAGACAATTCAACATATGTCACTTGTCTATGAGACAATTCGACATATTTCACTCATCAGTGAGACCATTTAACATGTGTCGCTGGTCTATGAGACCATTCAACATGTCACTGATCTTTGAGAGAGTTGAACATGTCACATGTCTATTGGGGTAGGGGGGGGGGGCGATGGGGGTTATTTTGTGGGGAGGCAACTCACCATCACAGTTTGAGAATCTGCTATTGTTCTCGGGGGGAAGTCAAAGGTGTCAAAATGTAGACTGAACATTGTCACTGGGGGTATCTTTGTCTCTGCCATCTTTCTGACATCCTCTACAGCAACTTGCTATAGATGAAAGAAGACATTATTTTTAACTGTCCAAGCCACATCAGATTGTTGTAAATCACAATTTTCACGTGAAATATCACCACTAAACTTCGTATGAAACATCAACACTTAATTAATGTGAAACATCATCCCTTAGTTCATGCAAAACATCAACACTTAGTTTATGTAAAACAATATAACCTAATTAATGTGAAACAATATAACCTAATTAATGTGAAACATAACCACTTAGTTCATTTGTAACATCCCCACTTACCAGCATGTGAACCATCACCACCGAATTCATGTGAAACAGCATGACTTACCTCCATGTGAAACATAATCACTTAGTTCATGTGTAACAACCCCACTTACCAGCATGTAAAACTTCCTCACTTATCTCATGTGAGTGAAACATCACCACATAGTTCATGTGTAACATCAGCACTTACAAGTACGTGAATAATAAACTTACCTCCATGTGAAACATCATCACTTACCTCCATGTAAAACATTACCACTTACTCTCATGTAAAACATCGCCTTTTACCTCTTTGTGAAACATCACTACTTACCTTCATGTGAAACATCATAAGTTCATTGGCCAGACTGTTTCGGTACTGGATGTCTATCACCTTTTTGTACATCAGAGACTGAAAGTGATACATGAAATACAAGAGGTAAACAATAACATATGCATCAGCCAGTACACAAAAATTAATGTATTAGTCAGCAAACGTTACATTAATGTAAGCGTTAACCAGCAACCATAGATTATTGTAAACATTAACCGGCAACAAAGCATTATTGCATGCATTATTTAGCAACTTTTTGGTCAGATATGACTTGAGTTAACGCATAACAGTCAGGGTTGCCATATTGGCATTTTTTTATGCCAGATTCCGCAAATTTGGCATATTTGAAATTGAACTGGCATAAGATAATGAACTGGCATATTTTGGCATATTTGGGTTTTTCCTGGAAAAGTAGACCAACAGTTAACATCTTTATTTCAGTTTGACTTTGTTGTGATGTCTTGTTAGGGACTAACGGAGATTCGCGCCATTTCTTATGGCATTTGTTGTCTTCCTAAACGGATCGTGACTTCGATAAACCAAGGCCCTCTGTAATTTATGTTAATCTACAAGAATAAATGCGGGATATAAAACCAAAACCCACCACTGATATCAAGTGATTCAGACTGTTCAGGAACTACTTGAGGACAGAAAATAGAGAGGATATTGACCTAGTTCTATCTGTGATAGATTTTATTACTTTTACCAATGGCAACGTCAACCCCCCCCCCCCCCTCCCATTGGAAAGCAACTTATGACATCGCACGTATAATAGTAACTGAAAGAAAACATACCTACGGTTAAAAAAATCTTTAGACGGATCAGAGGCAACATACTGCAAACTGTGTCAGTGCACTGTTGCACCAAGAATTAGTAAAATATCAAATGATGAAAAATCCGAAAAACACAGGATAAAAGCTCCGTCAAAAAGACAGTTACAGCGTATTATTACAACAATGACTCCCAGGCAAAGTAATGATGAGGTTAAAGGCAGCAGAGTTGCAACTTGCATGACCTGCCATTGTGCAATATGCACAAATGATCATCTAAGTGAAATTATGAGAGCTCATGGTCGGGGGAGGACATTGGAGCACATACAGTTGCATAGAACTAAATGTTCATACCTAATTAAAAAAATATATTATATCGCCTGCACTAAAGGATGACCTTATTGATGATTTTCGGAACAAGAAAAATGCCATCATTATAGATGAGTTGCAAAGACTTCATCCCATCTGAGAAAATTGCTACAGATTTTACCTCTCAAAAGGTTTATGCTGTTTCTTCCACTGGTTCCAATGAGGGTGACAGTGAAGAATTCAATCTAGAGCTTTTGATGTGAAGTGAGTACATGTTACACTTTATTTGGCATTTTCTGGCATATTTTGGGTAATGGTCTGGCAAAAAAAAAGTTTTTTATCTGGCAACCCTGATAACAGTAACCGGTACCATCTGTCTTCTGTTTCGCCGAATGTTGGGTGGCGTATACCAAACCTGACATCCTATATTGTTCCAGAAAATCAAAGCAATGTTTCCCCGTTGCAAATTTGAGCAAAGAAGACACAAACAATAGATTGCACAATTTATTGCCTGGCATATTTCGCTGTATCTCATCAGGTGCATACTACAGTAACAGTTACATAAATGAAGCAAATAAGTGAATCCTCTATAACTGAAGTACAATTTCAACAACGTTCAAACATTTACCAGACTTTTAAATTTCAATGCTGCTGTTATGTCCGCTGCAGGCACTGCATTCTAATTATCTCGCCAGTTTTTACAAGGGCAGCCGTAAAGAAAGAACCATCTCTTTCTGAATACAGAGTTTTATCGTGTCATATTTATGGTAAATTATCATCATAATAAAATTTGGACATAATTTTTGAATAATTTTGAATGATTAGTGCAAATGTCAACAACTGAAGTCATTTATTAGATTGTGTTGGACAATTTACATATATTATTAGCAACTAAAGTATAATTATAATTTGTTATTAACACACCAAAAAAAAAAAAAAAATGATTTGCATATTCTTTACAGGACGTAGCAGATCCAACCCCACGCACTTTCTGGCTGTTGTAGTTTTCTAGGCAAATCTACATCCAGTATTTTGCCCTTGCTTTCTAGACGGTCAGCTCTCGGTACCACGGTCAAAACCATCGCAAGACAAACCGCCTGCAGTGGTGATCGAACCTGGCTTCCCGGCATTAATTTGTTACTAAATTAAAATAAAATAATGAAGATGTTAATATTGGCAGTAATTTAAAATTCATTTACTATTTACAGTAATTAATGTCAATTTAATTGTTAGATATCCTTTATACTTAATACCAGTATTACTTATTAATTTTGCGTTTTTTATTGCAGAAAGAGTCACAATTGTTCCTGATTATCCTATTTTGACAAATAACTAGATTTTGCAGCAATTCCTAATCAGTAACGATCTTATCCACATTTGAAGTCACCACCACATTAAGAGGGTGAAAAACAAGAATAGGACATCCTTGAAAAGGGTAATACTTATTGCACTTAGTTTAGAGATTACATGTTGAAATAATTAATATAGTTTTTAAGAAAATTCTAAGTCTAGGGTATTATTTTTAGTATTATAGTAATACCTAAGTTGGTAGTTAAATACTTAGTTTTATTAAGTGATAATCATCACTTATTGTTCAGTTGATTTTTTTGATTCGCTTGTAATTGTTTTGACATTGCTGTGATTAACATGAACAATAGTTAATACAAAATGAGAACCATAACTGGAAAAGTTAAACATCCAATTCAACAATGTCTGGAATGTCGGAATGGATTGCAGTTGGGAAGGAGCTAGGTCTCCATAGAGAAGAGTTAGGAAAATATGCAGATAAAAGAAAAAAAAAAAAAGAGATGATGGCAGAAGAGAAAGAGAAGGAACGGGAAGATAGAAGACTCCAGAGAACACGACATTCGTCTAAAAGAACAAGGACTACTTTGAAAGAAAGAATTAGTATTTTAAAAATAGATCAAAATGAAAGATCTATTACAACAGAAATAGATTGAGGACCAAAAGCTACAATTAGAAAAGGGGAGATTGGAAGCACAAATATAGGCAGATAAAGAGAAGGCAGAAGTACAAATAAAAACCAAAGTGAGGGAGAATGAGTTTAGAAGAGAAGCAGCCATAAAAAAATAAAGACTGAAGGCAGAAGAGAACAGATATAAGAAGTACGCTGGCATAGCAAGAAACTACTGTGTTCATGAGGACATATCTTTATGGTTGTCGATATTCGAGCTCCAAATGCGCATGAACAAGGTCCCAAAAGAGGACTATGCACTGATCTTCCAAAAGCACTTAGCTTTTGAGCCACTAAAAATTTTGGAAAATTTCCAGAGCAGAAAAGAAACGACTTTGATTTTGTGAAGGAACAGATCACGAAACATTATAACCTGCATGAAATGGGTTATAGAAAGCAGTTTGTTAGATTGAAGACTAGAAGTAATCAAACTTTCATGGATTACTTATTGAAAGTGCAAAATATCTTTGAAAAATGGGTAGATGCAGCCAACGTACGGGAGGACTACAGGTTATTAGTCAACCTGCTGATACTAATTAGGCCACTAGAATCACTATAAGTGCCAATAGAAACATTTTAAAAAGAAAGCAAACCAGTCAATGTGAACCAGATGGAGAAATTAGGAGAGATTTACTATGCTGCCCATCCAGGTATTTTCATATCGGCTGTCAATGACTGTATTGGAGTGGGAGTCATAGCGTACTATAGACCATCTCAAGGAAGATACCCAACAAAAGACAAAAGATTAGTAGGAAAAAACATGTCATGACTAAGTCATGCTACTGTAACCTCCGGCACAGCACAGATTCCATATGCGACAAACACCCATATTATAAAATTCAATTTCAAGAGTTAATTGCCCAGAAAAAGAACAAGCTAAAGAATTACACCAAGGCAATTAAATGCTTCTACTGTAATTGCTACGGCCACTTGCGTGCCCAATGTGCTTTTAGCAACAAATTAAAGATATGGATATTAGATGAGTAAGACTTAAATATAACAACAGATGTTGTTATGAATGTTGGCTTACACATATGATATATGTATATTTTGTAATTGTAAAATGCAAATGTAAGGTTTGTAAAATGCAAATGTAATGATTTACAGGACAAAGGCGATAAGAATATATAGTTATAGACGGTACAAACTCTTGACTATCTGGACACATTTCCAGCAGTTTTAGAAGTTAGGAATGCTACTGATAAATTGGCTTCGGGGAAAGCCCTAGCAGAGATGAAATTACTACTTAGATAATCAGGAGTGGGAAAGACATTCTTACCACACACATTCATCAGCTAATAACACTCTGATGGCAAGAGGACAGGTTTTGCAAGACTTCAAAGACTTAAGTATCAATACACTTTGAAGGTGTTACATCAAAGGAGTTTGTAATCAAAAATGGAGTGAAGCATGGGTGTGTACTTGCTTATACCATCTTTAGAATATACTTCTCACTTTTTTTGGAACAGGCCTTTCGAGGTCGGGAGGGTGATATATTCATCAATTCTCGATCAGCTGGTAGCCTTTATAATAACCAGGATAAGAAAAGTACTTTTCACAAAGTTGCTGTTTGCAGATGATGCTGTAAAAACTAACCACTTAGATGAGGAGCTGCAATGTTTACTATCTGCCTTTGCTGATGCATGCTGTAAATATGGACTAACAGTCAGCAAAAATAAGACAAAAATTATGGTGCAAGGCGTTAATGATAGGCCTACTGCCCACTTTGACAGTGAAGAGCTGGACACAGTAGAACATTTTGCCTATCTGGGTTCAACAGTGAATAACAAACTATCACTGGACCAAGAAATCATCATCAGAATAGGTAAGGCAGCAACACCAACGAGCAGACACAAAAAAGAGTTTGGGAGAACAGAAAGCTTACAATTAAATCAAAAACTCTTGTCTATCAGGCTGGATTTCAGCTGGTTGAGACCTGTGTTAAGTTCACTCATTGAGAATGTATCCGTCATTTTTTTCTTCCTTCTGGTTTACTCTTGCCGGCTTCCTCGAATTCTTTAATT